AATGCTGCTTTCTTGGCTGGCAGACAAAATAACTGTAGCTGTTTCAAAAATCACCTCCAATTCACGTGGGGGAGGGTGGTTGTCTTGTGATTGGTTCATCTTACAAACACTGAGCTCATTCCCCTTTGGGGTACTGAAGGTGAGTCTCCCAGAGTGAGGTGCATCTATGGGCTTCAACAGCCACTGGCCCCTTGCTCTGCAATCAGTCCTTCCAAATAGCTTCAAGAAAGAGTCTAGTCTAGTGAATAGTTGGCACCTTGGCTATAAACAGAGATATGTAACAAGATCATCAGCACATTTTCACGATGTCTTGAATCGTTTTTTGCTCCCCCTTCAATAGCCCTAAGAGAGCATGTTTTGCAGGGGTTTGAGTTCCCAGAGCCATTGCTGTCAGGCCACTGGGAGCCAAAAAAACCATGCCAACCCTAAGAATTCACCGAGGTACTTCTGCTGTTGTCCCTTAGTATCAATTCCTAACATTACGATCCCTCACTGCAGAATCTTACTTCTCACCAAGCAGCCTGGATATGGGTTTCTAAATGATAGGATCAAAGAATTTCAAGATAGAAGTAATTTTTTCAAAAACGTTTAACATTCTGAAACAAAGTAAATTCTCAATTATTGAGAAGAAAGAATCTTAAAGGCTATTTAGTACCGTTTCCCAGTTGGTTGGGAATGACTTCTCTATTATTTGAATACTTCCAGTGATGAAGAGTTCATTACCCAACATCACTGGACAATATTAGTACAATATCAGAATTGCAAGAATATAATCAGATCAATTCCCCCATCTCTTATTAAATTGCTATGAACCAGGTCTTATAAATATGAATAACTTTTAATCTCAAGTAGCTCAGTAAGAATATAACAATATATATCAAGTAAAATCTTGGAAGTTAATATAACTACTGGTGTTGATGCTATATTATATAATGTTAAGTCTATTGCATTATAATTTTTCATTTGTTTACTTCATTTTATATATCTAATTTCATTATTTTTCAATTTCAACTTTACTCAATGCATATTTATTACTCTTGCACAACATTTTATAATATAAACTCTCTTTATAGGGGACATCATATCTCAGTTGTCTGAAATCCTTCAGGTTTATACCTCACTATTTTAACATAATTTTGAACAGCACCTTTTTCATTCTCAAAAGTATCCTAGTTTGGATGATAAATTTTATGGTCAAGTATATACTTTAAAGTTTTTAAAAACTGTATTTCTTTTTAAAAATAGTATTACAAATTCTCACAGATTAAGGCTGGAATCCCAACCCCCTACTTCTTTGCATTGTTCTCAATTAATAAGCTTTATTTTATTTTGAAATAATAAATCTTCTTGACTACTGAGTATTTTTAATAAAATGAATAGCTGCTCCAGGTTTAAGAATGACCACCACGGAGAGGCTGGACGGAGGCTGTGCTCTCTGCATGGATGGAGTGACCCAGTGCCAATGGGATGTCACTTTCATTAAGTTACTGGGAGCCGGAGAAACCTCTCTAAGTCAGGCACAGCATGTTGGCAAGTGTAACGTGGATGGCCTCATGTCTGAGAAAGCACTCCCTCTACTTGACCAGATTTCTTTCATCTTTGGGTGCCTCAGTTTCTCTGTCTCTAAAAGAGCACAATAATGCCCACTTCACAGAGCTGTTGGAGGATTAAAGGGACTATAGCCATGGAGCCCTCTCAGCTACCAGGAACAAAGACATTAAGTAATTGCACAATGTTCAGTTCTGCTTCTCCAGCTTGTGAAAAGAGGCTCCCACTGACTTGAAAGAAAGCATCACACATAGACAAGGAGAAACCAACGGGAGAGCAGGGCCTATTACCTTCATTATCATTGTCCTAAAGTACAGAGGAGAGAGACGGTAACAAAGAAGCACAAGAACTATGGTCACAGGAAAACAAGACAAGGACTAACCAAAGGGCCACAGAAGAAAATCTGAAAATATGAACATTTTAGTTACAAATCAATCTGTGAAGATTATATGCCAGAAACTAGGGAACCACTTATATATTCTGGTCGTTTGATATAGTAACACACTCATGTATTTTTCACAAGAGAATGTGCCCCCGTGCCTCGCTCTACCCTTTCTTACATTATCCACTCCAATCTAAGCACTTAATGGCAGTTCAATGGCCACTTTCAGAGTGGATTAAATTTAAAAGCTCCTATTTAGACAGCAAGGTACATTCAAATGATTAATCAATAGATAATGAAATTGAAACTGGTGATACTATTTAGGCATAAAATATTAAGACCTCTGAGAGTGAAGAATGAGTTTGAACAAGTAGAAAAGTGCCATTGCTGTTTTGGTGAACTCACAGTCAAGTAGGTGTGAGACATTCTCCTGTTCATTAAATCAAACGGAAAAACAAAAACAAAAACAAACAAACAAACAAACAAAACGATACATGATAGGAGAGGCTGGTACAAGCAGTAATTTCCTGGCAAAAGCTATGTCTCAAAAGTCCTCCAGAGCACCCTGCAATCCACAGAATTTCGCCAAACAATTTACCAAATTGGCTTGGCTAGAAATCATTTTTGTGCATGGATCTTAGCTACAAGGCACTTCTGAATCTATCAGACTCTCCCAAGTCTTCTTCAACCTGTGCGAAGAGTCAGGGGACTTTGTAAAAAGAGCATATACTTCAGGGTCAGTTAGACTTGGGATCAAATTCTAGCTCCATCATCTCATTGGCTGAGAGACTTGGGATAAGTCATATGACCTTCTCTGAGAAATAGATTATATAACCCTGCCAACCTTGCAAGGCGTTGGGAGAATTAAATGCCCAATATATGTCAAAGAGCCGAGAGCTATACTTAGTTTAACCTATTCCGTATAGCTACAAACAACCCAGAATGAAAGAAGCCCACCCACGTCACCAACCTCAGACCAGATGGACAAAGAATATAAGAGAGAAAAGTTTTTAAAACACTAATATAAAATGCTTGCACACATTTCACCAAAATGGGGGTCTTAATTTAAGTATCTGGAAGAGTCAGACTACAGTTCTAATAATGTAAAAATTCTTAGATGTTAAAAGATGTTCTATTTTACAATGTACATAATTCTGTACTTGTAGAAATTTTGCACATGATTCATCCCTTTTAAAACCACATACTCTGGCCACTCACAGTGGGCTTCTCAGGGGCTGCCTCTGGTCCTGAACAAGTAAGACGCGGAATCAAAGGGAAGGTCTCAGCACCCTGTCACCCTTCTCGTTCTACAGGGAAAAAACTGAGGCTTGGAGATAGGAAGTTGCTTGCCCAAAGTCAAACAATAAAGGCCTTGGTTTGGATTTTTGGGGGAGCCACTGAAAACCAAACCTATGACAAAAAAATAAGAATAATCTCATCACAGGGCTTTATTCATGGATATTTCCAATTCTATGGCCGAACAATGTCATTGACCTGCCTGGTACCGGATTTGTCCTTTGGGAAGTAAGTTTTCCTCCAATACCACAAAAGAGGGAAACCTGCTAAGATAGGTCAGTCACATTTTACATTTCCCAACATGACACGGAACCTACTTTCTAACATGCCTCAGGGGCTGAAAAAATCTCAAAGACAAAAATAATCATCAAAGAATGCTTTGAACATTGATGTGACATTTGCTGTCCCCTGGTAACAGATACTGTGCTAGGCCTACAACTTAGTAAAATGTCATCCTCTGAACACAATTCCTCAGAGGAACGTTAACAAATCAAATATTTAGCACACATTTTTAGAGTGTCTATTATGCTTTCTTTGTATGAAAATCAAATTCTCCATTTAAATTTCTGAGCATAATAATTTCTAACCACCAAACACTATATTTTAAAAGGTGACAGCCCATATAAAACAAGATTTACAAACACCTTGCTAGGCAGAATGAGCTCCTTGTTTCATAACTCTCCAACTGTTAATCATCGTTGATTATTAATTCTGGTTCTATCTCTGGGATTACGGCAGCGTTTTATGCTGAAAGGCTAATTTAGAGATGGGTTGTCCTGAGACTAATTTCCAGCACAAAGAAACTTCAATGCTTAAAGCAGTTTTACATTAAAAGCCCTTGCAGGAGGCTACCATCAAAGCTAAGGTAGGATGGAAGCCAGGGAAGCGGGGAAGTCAGGGTTCTTCAGGTTTTTAGGATGGGAGCGACCACAGTACCTGTCTAAAGGCAGAGGGGAAGAAACCAGAATTGATGCAAAGTTGAAAATCCAGAGAACAGAGGTGGAAATCTCTGAGAGGGTGATTGGGAATGGGTCCCAGGGCATTGCTGAAGAGAAGAGAAGGGGAGGAGAAGGGGCAGAAAAGAAGGGGCTATAAGGAAGAATAAGAAAGAAAAAGGAAGAGAGGGAGGGGAGGGAGGAAGGGAGCAAGTGCCAGACGCAGAGACACTGTGAAGACAGTTTAGGTGACATTAAATATGGAGATGACAAACTACGAATTACAAAGGACCTCTCTACAGAGAAGTTCTGCTCAGCCACATAATTGTACATTGTAAATATATACTCGAGGATTAGATTTTATTCTGCTTAAAAGACTTTAATTGATGCTTTCTCCTAAGAAATACATTCAATTCATAATGGAGAAGAAAGAAGTCATTCACTCAGACTGATTTTTGTGGAATAACAACTGAAAACTACTTGAATCCTAGCCTTTAACAAAGTTATACATCAATGTAAGAGGAAAAAAAATACCCTTCTAAGAAAGAACAACTCAAACCCCAAATTATCAGGTAATTCACAGTGTGGACATTAGAAATAGCAAATACACAGTTTGATATTTGGTTTGCAAAGTGAGAAAAGAAAGCATATTAAATTCTATAGAATAAGCTTTTCGGATCCCAGAAGTACTAAGAACTCAATAGTTTTTTGGCTCCAGTGATTGGTAAATATCTAGGAGAGCCCAGATTTTGAAGCCCTGAGGACACTTGCTAAAACTCAGAAATTTGGCACTAGTCTTTGCACACAGTTTGGGTTTTCTTTCAGAGTTGATATCTTACCAAATATAGCCATCTGTGTTCCCTCTGGGAAAGGTTCAACTGTGCGGTTGCCATTGACATGATGTTTGGCTAGAAAAAAAAAAGAGAAAGAAAGAAAAGAAATGCAAGTTAAGTGTAAAGTTCTACACACATACTAACACATGTCATTAAATGTGTCAAAGAGCCTATTTCTCATTTTTTGTTCGAAATGGCACCAAAGCTTACCCTCTTAAGACAGTTTCAATTATTTTGTTTTTAATCTCAGTTACAGAAGAGCCTAGAGATGGTCTGGTTCAGCATGTCAGTTTATAAATGAGTGTGCTGAGCCCAACCTTATGCAGAGCTGTAGAGCTGGTGGTGGCAGAGCCAGCCCAGCCTGAAAGCTCCTGGTTCCTAGCCAGAGGGTCCCCACTGTGCCAGGCTGTACCCTGAAGAACAAGGGGAGCTCCAGGTTCCAGGGTGAACTGGGGTGGCTTCCCCTAAAGACTCCTGATGGTCAGAACATTGACCCAATCAGTAAAGTGAGGCATAAAGACAACGGGGTCACATTGGGATCAATTTTTCAAGAAGCAGAAGAGCAGAACACATCATTTCAACATAATTCAAGCACTGTTCCCAGGAGCTAAACACACGTTCTTACAGACAAGGCAGATACTCTAGGGCTTGTTACTACTCTTCATCCCCTCTACCAATCATCCTTCCCACCCTAGGGCATATCAAGGACTCAGAAACAAAAGTGACCTGGTTTTGGTTTTCCAACATTAACTTGTTCTCATAATCCCCAAATGGTAACCAGATAGAAAATATCTGAGTAAGGTCCATCCATACGTATTTTAATAGTAGCCTCAGCAATTTTTAAATATGGACATTTATGTTGAAAATATATAACAGAAGAATAGCTAAAATGTTTTGATGCTGTATCATGTAGCACATATATTTTCACGTAATGAGTCGCATTGGATTTATTGAACTCTGGCAAAGGGCTCAGCACTAAAGCTAGGCTCTGAAGGGTCTCAGGGAAGTATGGCATGGTTCCTGCCCTCGGGTACAGTCATTTTCCAAAGGTAAAAGCTTCAAAGGCAAACTTTACCAGAAAGCTTACAATTAATGTGCTAAGTCCTGGAATGGGGACTAAAGGTACTGTAAGAGTTCGCTGCAGAAGGACAGTAAGTTGGGAAGTCAGAGCTCACAACCTGAATGAATTGCAACTAACATAGAGTCTTAAAGGAGAGGCAGCGTTTGAAGAGGCGAAGGGTGAGGAAGCAACGTGAGTGATTGCCACAAGTGGAGTAACCGAGCCGCTGTCCTGTGCAGAATAGAGTGTAGGCTGGGTGTGGCAGAGCTGATGCGCTGGGAAGCAATGGTAATGAAGGAGAGCCTGGTAGGCAGGGACCCGGTCATGGAAGGTCTTGAGAGCTGCGGCCAAACCCACGGGAGCCCTGGGCAGCCTCCGCAGCGCATGCAGTCTTTCAGGACCTGATGGCCTCCAGGCTCAGTCCAGTTAGACAATCCCTTCAGGATACCATCACTTCGAGGCATTCCACTGGTTCTTAAGTACTTGTGACACTATCTAAGAAGAGAACACCTGGGAGGATGGAAGGAGCCAGGCCAGGATGAACAACAGAGCAAGCCTTACAGTGATCGCTAGGCACTAACTGACACAATTAGCAGATGCAAGATGAAAGGTTCCAGGTGGCATGGGACCTTGTCAAGCACTCAGTAATATGGTTAGGACCACAGCTTACGCGTCCACAGAACCGTAATAAGGCCCCAAGTGGAAGTCACAGTTCCGTTCTATGGTGAGCTCTCTGCAGCCCTGGCAGTGGTTCTAAAAACATCTGCCTTTACACACATCAAGAGTTGCAAGCCCATTAGAACTCTGAGCCACTAATCTCACTCAAAAGATCTCAATCTAAGGAAAAATACAAGAGAAAAAAAAAAGTGATACACATAATAATATATTCTAACAATGAAATCTTAAAATCAACTAAATATCCAAAAGTAGAGAAATTGCTTAGAAAATTATAATCCATGGTTTATCAAAAGCATGGAATATTATACAACATATTTTAAATACATTTGGGAGATATATAGGAATGTGGAAAACTATTTGGGGTACTGGTAAGTGAAAACAATCCTATTACACATTGGATATAGATTATAATGACAACTAATTAAAATATAAACGCTTATAGGGAAAAACTGCCAGAGAAAAAGGCAAAAATGAAAATAGCCAGGGAGATTATGCAAGATCTTTATTTACCTTTATCAATTTCCTTTGACATGGTTAGAGCTTGATTTTCTAGATGGAAATATGTTACTTGAATTTTTTAAAAATCAACAAAATTGTAGATTAAAAAACATTTTCCCCAGTACTTGGTTTCCCAGGAAAGTCTATCAAGGCTTATTTATAGCCCAGCCAAAATGCTACACGTTTACAACAAAAAGTGTGTCCTATTTGACATCTCTACTGGGAAAGCGCAAAAAGCACCTTGAACACAAGATGACCTTCCACTCCAAAAGTGACCCTCTTCCAGCATCTCGACCTCTGGGAACAGGACCGCCATCCTCCTACCGGTTTTCTTGCCCATTCTCTCTCCCTCACCACCTACATCTAATCTATCACCAAATCTAGCTGATTTTGCCTTTCAGACAGCTTAAGAATCCTTCCACTTCTTCCCTTCACCATGGAAACCACTCCAGTCCCAACTGTTATGGCCTCTTTGCCTGGACTCTTCCAAGTGCTTCTAGCTCTTCTATACCCTCCTCTCCAATTTGTTCTTCCCAGTGTAGCCACAGTTACCTTTTGAAAAGAAAGAATAACTCTGATCATATGATACAATGTGGCCTTCAAAGACCCACATGGTCTGGCCACCTTGGTCCCTCATTCCTTTTATAATAGCGATGCTGCTCTCTTGAGACCAACGACCTTCTTCTGCAGCGCTCACCAGAGCTGCACCTTACACCTAGTCCTTATTTGGATGAGTAAACTGTAAGCTCAGGGAGGGAAGGGCTCATCTCTCTTTTGGCTCATCATATCCGCAATCCTAGCACAGTATGGGACACAGGGTAGGTATTAAATAAATGGCTGTTAATTAAAAAGGGAAGGCATAAACAGTTCTGAAAGGTTACTCTTTAGCCATTACAAAAGATATATTATTTGATACATTAAAAATATATCTTCCTTTATATGTACATATATGTGTCCCTTGTACAAAAATGATCATTAAAAATGGCCATTCAGAAATAGTTTCCTGAGCCAGGGGTCCTGGAGACCAAGGAACTCCTCTGTTCCACTTTTTAAATGTCCACCCCTCTTCCCTTCCCATTCATCCACTCTCAGCTGAGAAAGCAGAGGTGAAAAGACTAGAAATGCCATCTGAACTGGAGAGAAAGGAGGAAGTTCAAATGCAACTCTCCGCTCACTGCTAACATTCCCCTGGACCCGGTCTTGTCTTTTATTCTAGGGCCTGAAGCCCAAAGATAACAGGGTCTACAAACTCAATTTTTCGTTTTCTTCTGAACTGCAGACGAGTCTTACATTAGTCCCTGGACTGCAAAGAAACTGCATTAGCCAACAAGAAGTAATACACTAACAGTAGCTAAGGACATGGGCTCTGGAACAAGACTGCCTGACTGAATCTCAGCTAGCTCACTTCCTAGCTATATAAACTTGGCTTAGTCATTTAACCTCTTTGTGCCTCAGTTTCCTCATTTGTAAGAGCTTTTTCATTGCAAGTTTCCTCATTTGTACCTACCTTGTAGGTTGCTTTGAAAATTAAATGAGTTTATATGTATATATATATTTAGAACAGCACCTAGCATATAGTAAACACTACTTAACTGTTAGGCTAGTATTATCATTCATGTGTGAACTCCATTTTTCACAACAAGATCTGAATCGGGAATGGACAATACATGGCACATATTTACCTAACCTCTGATTCCATGCCCTTGGCAGACATCGCTAATCAATCGCAGCATACTTTTTTTTTTTTAAGCAAGGCAACCCTTGGTTGACCTCACAGATTGCAAGGACCTTGTCCGCTTACAAACCCTCATTTTTTATTTTTTGTTTTTTACGCCTACTGCACCTGGTCTTCCTAGGTGGTCTCCAATCCAAGTACTAACCAGGCCCAGCCCCACTTAGCTTCTGAGATCAGACGAGATTGGGCGTGTTCAGGGTGGCATGGCCATAGACCACAGTATACTTTCTTAGTCTCCTAATGTGACCACAAAATCCTTTCTCAACTTAGCACCACATAGAGTCTTTCATTATTTAAAGAAAGCATGTGTGATGAAATCATTTTGTAATTCCTGGTCTAAGTGAATAAAACAGAAAGATGGTACAAAGAAAGCAGCCATTTCCCTTCTCATTTTCACATGATAAATGGCAATAAAAAGAAAGATGCTTTGAAAATCTCCAAAACTCTATAGGTAGCTTTAGGGATAAAAGAATGGGGAGAAATATGAGTGCTACTTTCCATTCCATGATGGGAGAACAGCAAGTTCTTAAGAACCAAGCAGTGGCAATTCTATTCTTGGAAATCAAGGCTGAACTTCTAAGGGCACTTTCCCATTGAACCTCTGCTAAAGCTAGTATTTGGGAGCCAAGAAGGCAGAGATCCTTTAAACACATTGCATCAGTCAAATAAGATTTAGAGAGGACTAACCTGAGACCTTAATGAGCATTTATAATTTTTTTTTTCAACATTGGTGGCACATTTCATCATAGAAACAATCAAACTCTCTAAACAGAAAAGTCACTCATTGATTGGGTACTAACTATTGATTACCAGCAGAGCATGAAATGAGGACAGCAGGGGGTGTCTGATAGGGACATCTGTTGCCTAGTCACAGCAGGGTGGATGTCTCCAATCTGGCTGGTTGGACAGATGTCCCTGCCTCTGCTCTGTGCGGACACATTCTAAAGCCACATGCTTCAGGAGGACAACCTCTGCTGATGGCCATGACGTGTCCTCAGTCAAGGGTATACGAGGACAAGGAATAGATTTTCATTTATCTTGAAAGCTAAGTGCTTAAAGAGCAGCAAGGTTAATTAGAGCAAAATTGGGTCAAAGTCAACTCTT